CCGGCGATCCTTCCGCCTCAGCCTTCCCAGTAGCCGGAATTACAGGCATGCACTACCACGCCCGGCTGATTTTTTGATTTATTGTAGAGATGAGGTCTCACTGCCCAGGTGGGTCTCGAACCCGTGAGCTCAGGCAATCCACTCACCTCAGCCTCCCAAAGGCGCGGGATGACAGGCTGAGCCACCGAGCCCGGCTACATTTCTAACTCTTAATCTATAAACAAATAGTCCTCCTCCCAGATGGTTCAGAAGATACAAGACAATATATAAACATAAAATTTCTTGATGGCTATCTGTACCACGGCAGGTCTCCTGAAGAAGAAAAACAGAGTTTGCAAAGTACAGGTTCTATTCAGTTCCCATGCACGTTTTCAAACATTTAAGCTAAAGATCTCAAGATGAGACTGTGAAGGATATCGCACCAGAATTTTAGAATGACTGTGTCTCACTGACAATCTCTCACTACAACCCCAGTGAGTCATTAGAAAAGAGGTCACATTCATATATTTTTATACTGAGAGAAAGGTTATTCCAAATACATTTTTCAAAATTCTATTTACTTATTTAATGAATAGTGATATTTACTATTTGTATATTTTTCATGATGATCTTGTCATTACTAATTTTTATTACTTGCCATTTTTTTATAATGGACAAGAAAATCCATGATCCAAGGAGGCAAGCTTATAATCTTTGTATAAGGGAAAAATGAGGTATTTATCATATGAGGGAGGACCCCCCAAAAAAGGAACTTATTTACAAAAAAAGTGTATTTATCTTACATATTTTCAAAGCACTCTTTTCAACCGTTTGATGTAATACATCTATCAAGATGCTTCTTTCACTGCTCAAAACAGTTTTTGAACTCATCATTTTGATGCCTCTTAGTGCTGTCATTTTTTGTTTCACCTATTCCACACAGGCAAAATGCTTTCCTTTGAGGACTTTTTTTTTTCATGAGGGAGAGTGGGAAGTGGCTGGGGCAAGATTGGGTGATTAGGGAGAATGGGACATGGGAGTCACACCATTTTTGGTAAAACACTGCTTACTCAGCACAGTATGGGCAGGTGCATAGTCATGGTGGAAGAGCCAGTCACCTGTTTGCCTAAACTCAGGATGTGTCTTTCACAAATTCTGATGCAACCTTCTCAAAACTTCCAGATAAAAACTTTGGCTCACCTTTTGATCCAGAGTAACTAATTCTGAGTGTCTTACAAGGGGCCCACCCTCAAAAAGATAATTCCAGTTTTTTTGTGCCCCCAGACCCTGTAGGTGTCTCTTTTTACCCAAAATACGTATTAGAAACATAGGCCTAAGACACAATGCTGTGAAAAGGCAGGAAAAACTGACATAGATTAATTCTGCTTGGTGGAAGCTGTTCCTAGAGTCAAACACTGTATTTCTTTTGTAAAACAAAATAAACTATCAAACTAACTACCACATTGGAATGCAGAATAAACTGACGCTGACGTGATGAACCAAAGTATAAAAAAATTATAACTTGTAACACATTGAGTATTTCTGAAGGTATTTCATTTAGTATATATATTTTTTAATCTTCCAAATTCCCATCCTTTTTTCTATAAAAGATGCTTTCGAAATTCATCAGAGAACAGATAATTAGAAAAGTACCATAGATTTTTACTATGTAAGTCTTTTAAATTTTATTTTTAAATAATTTTATGGGGTTAATAGCTATTTTAATGTTTATTTCCAAAGTCAGGAAAAAATGTGCACTATATTCTTTATATTTGCAGTTTGTTCTTTCTAGTAACCACATATTATAGCAACAGAAAACACATTGGAATAATTTCATAGACATTTCCAAACACATTGAACATTTCATAGAAATGTCTTTCTATGAAAAATGTACTGTGAGGTATTTGTTCTGTAATTTTTATAATCCCTTGTTTTATATTTAACAGCTTCATATGAAGATAGGAAACTCAGATCTTTTCAGTTAGAGAAAGCATAAAATAATAAGAAGAATTTAACTGATAAATTGCAGCTGAGAATATCCCAAAGCACAAAAAAGAAACACTTTATCAGCCTTGGAGCAGACTTGGAGCCTGGATTAAGTGCTAACTCCTATGTAATTTGGTCAAGTCAGCACACCTTTATGAAAATTAGTTTCCTCTTCTGTTAAATAAAAATGAGGACGGACATCCATCATTTACCCAATCAATAAGTAATTGACATGTATCAATTGCAGGCAACTGCAGTTAACAATTTACCTGTTTAGAAAATGTGATGCTCAGAAATTGCCATTTCACCACTCAACTCCCTTTCCCCATATGATTATGACTTCCAGATAATTGGTGTTATTAGACCAATTAGTGCTTTAATTAAAAAAAAATCACCAAATATTTTTCAGTACCATTAGAAAACTGCTAGGTAAAGTAAAAAAAAAAAACTCTAGTCCCAGAACTCCCAATGACTGTGACACGTGACTAGTTTTTCTTATATTTCAGGTAAGAACAGCAAACAAAAATAATGCAAAATTAGCATCCAGCAAATGTGTCTCTTTCAACAAACATGTTTACATTAATTTTAGAAAAGCATGCATTAAGTATGTCTAAATCCACATGCCCACTAAATTAGCCCAGGTAGTCATTAAGGGTAAAGTTTTTCCTTCTATCCCCTCATTCACAATAAATAAGTTTTATATGATTACATGCAAAAATAGGCTAGATATGAAATGTCGCCTTCATACATTATCACGTTGCAATAGATAACGAATTATTAAATGTTCAAATATATGTCGTTTCTGTGATTGTCCTGAATTACGATTGGTAGTTATTAGCTATTTTCATTATACTTCTTTGGTGACCATATTGTTTTTGGTGTGTGATCTATGAAAGAATTACATTTTGTTCTCTATAATTGGGCATTACAAATCATGATAAAAAGAAATCTTAATAATTGGCAAAGAAATAGCAAAGGAAGAATTAGTAGTAACAATAGTAATAATAACAGTAGTAATAATAATATTAAAGTGAACATACCTGGAAATAACTGTTTTGTTGGGGCGCTGAGTTGTGCTTGCTTTGAAACTCTATAAGCAGTATCTGAACCTTTAGAATTCTTCCTGTTTGTGCAAAATCCTGTTGTTTTTGATATTCCCTCTGGAGAATTGTGAAAATCTAGTGCTTTTAGTACATCAACTGGAGCAGCTAAAAAATAAGCAAAAAAAGAAAAAACTGTAATTGAGCAATAATCTAATATAAAAATGAGTATTCTTAACACAGGATAGTGTGTCATTTCATCCCTTAAAATCATTTATCACTTGTCATGTTTCCCTAATATTTGGGTGGAAGTTTTGGAAGTGGGGCAGCAGATAGTAATATAAGCCATAACGACGTTCCCAAATACAAAATATCTCAAATCTAGAATCAAATTATGCATAAGCAATACAGAAGGGGTGTGTGTGTGTGTGTGTGCACACGTGCACACACGTACTCACTAACATCTGGAATTTAAAATGACCTATATATGTATTTATAAAAATTCAGATGTATCTCAATTATAATTTATAAAATCTTTAATAATTCCAAGTAATAATATTTAGAATTAAAGTGAAAGCCCAAATCTTTAACTATTCCATTATTTTCTAACAGAGTTACTATTCAGCAATTCATAATCTAAATAAAGATGATTCTTAAGACTCAAACTTAGAGTGGATATTATACATAACTATTGTAAGATATGCATCTTCTACACTGATGGTAGGAGTGGAAACTAGTAGAACCTCTATGGAAAACAGTGTGGCAATTTCTAAAAGATCTAAAAATCGAACTTCCATATGACCCAGCAATCCGCCTTCTGAGAATATACCCGGAGGAACTCAAAAGATACCTGCACACACATGTTTATTGCAGCATTATTCACAATAGCAAAAACATGGAACCAACCATGTTGCCCATCGAAATTCGACTGGATAAAAAAATGTGGTACACATACACAAGGGAATATTACACAATCATAAAGAAGAACAAAATTATGGACTTCACAGCAAGTTGGATGGCTTTAGTCTATGATACTCAGTGATTTATCACAGAAACAAAGATCTGAGTACCACATGCCATCACTCATAAGCGAACCCTGAATATTTATCCTAATACTATAAGAAAGGGATTGGCAGTAGTGGGATACTGCCATAGGAGGTAGGAGTACATAACATCAATAAGGGTACCCACACTTTTCCTGTAAGATGAGACCACTTATGTGCCTAACACTGAATTGTACCCTACATCTTTAAAATAAAATAAAATAAATAAAAATTAATATGCATCTACTTAATCATATTGTACACACAAAGATAAGTTTAAAGAAAGCACTTTTCTGGGTGCTTTGTTATGTTAGTGATTCACAATTTGTATATATGTGTGACGGTGTAGGCATGCACGCACATATCTATTTATATCTATTTATGTACAACTTGTTGATTTTTAGTCTCTAAATTTGCCAGTTACTTCATGGACATTACTCTATGTGACATGATTTATGCTGAAAGTCTTTGAAGACAAGTAATCAAGTAATTGTGCTCTCCGAAACAAAATTTATGTAGCCTTAGAGTTTGTAACATAGGGCTACTTTTGGGCAGAAACATAAATTTTCCAAATCCAATTCATTCCAGCTACCTCTAGCTACTGTGACATGGTCAATACAAAATAAATTTGGAAACTTAAGCTTTCCCTTTGTAAGTGTGACTTGTTTGTACAAACAGCTTTATCAGGGTATAATTCACACATCACACAAATCACCCACTTAAGAGGCACAATTCACGTTTTTGTTTTTTTTTTTTGCAAAGAAATTTTCATTTCTAAAAAATATTATACTATTAATTTTTTAAATTGTGGTAAATATATATAACATAAAGTTTGTCATTTTACGCATTTTTAAGTGTACAATTCAGTAGCATTAATTGCACCCACAATGTTGTGCAACCATCATTACTATCCATTTTTGAAACTTTTTCATCACCCCAAACAGAAACATCGTAACCATTTATGCGATAACTCCCCAACCCCCTCACCTCCTACCCTCTAATAAACTTGATCTGTTTCTGTCTCTATGAAGTTGCCCATTCTAGAAATTTCATTTAAATAGAATCACAGAGAAGTGCCATATGACCCAGCAATTCCACTCCTACTTATGCACCCCAAATAACTGAAAGCCAAGATTCAACCAAATAGTTGCATGCCAATGTTCACTGCAGCATTATTTACAATAGTCAAAAGGTAGAAACTATCCATGTTTCCTTCGACAGATGAGTGGATTAACAAAAGGTGATATATATGATGAGACATTATTCAGCCTTAAAAAGCAACATTCTGATATACTCTACAACATGAATGACCCTTCAAAACATTTCACACAGTATATGAAATATGCCAGATAGAAAAGAACAAACTTGATATTTTTTAGATCCTCAAATTTCCTGGTCCACCAATATATACTCATCTAAGCAAGTCAAAACATGCATAATGTGGTACAAGTATTTTTTTCAGAAACAGAATTTAGAACTCATCTTATTCTATATATAGTAAGTCCTCAGTGCCATCAGTAGGTACTTATAAACTGCAACAACTTTAAGCCAATCAGTCTTAAGGAAACCAATTTGACCACAGGCTGGTAGATACAAACAAAAGGCATATTTTGATAACAAAAGACACCATCAACTGGATAGAAAAATGTGATACATATACACAATGGAATATTACGCAGTCATAAAGAAGAACAAAATCATGAACTTCTTAGCAATGTTGATGGAATTAGAGCTTATAATACTGAGTGATCTCTCACAGAAACAAAGAGATGACATGTTCTCATTTATAAGTGGACCTTGAATAACTACCATATTACTGTAGGAAAGGGATTGAAAGTAGCGGGAAACTGTGGGAAGGGAGGTTGGGGGGGATAGCTGGGATTGACGGTAGTTGATATCCACCTGGGGGGGCACACCTCATCAGTAAGGGTACTTGCACAATGAACATTAGTATACCCAACAATTATACCCCACAATTTCAAAATAAAATTAAAAGAAAAAAACACCAACAAATTTTTAAATAAAGGCCAAAAATACTTCCAACATGAAACATTGAACTAAATGTGAGCTATACATACATTGAAGAAAGGTTAATAAAAACAAGATTATCCAATTTTTGGTGAATCAGTGAGTGACAGTGGTTGCAGCGGTGATGGGTTAAACAAGGATTAACAAGTTAATAACAAACTGCAAAGTTAAAATTGTAAGAATCCCCTCCCACTCCACATGGTTGCAAATATTCATAAATATTTGGGGCTCTGAGCTCTTTTTCACCTCTTTAGTTCCTGTCGTGCATCTGGATAATTTTTGTAGAGTTGACAGATTTTTATTTGACAACCATTTGTGTTCATTCATTTATTCATTTTCTACCTGCTTACTCTAGTTCAGGGTTGCAGGTGGCTGGGGCCCATCCCAGCGGCTCAGGTCAGGAAGGAACCAGGCCTGGCTGGAATGCCATCCCATGGCAGGGCGCACTCACACACCACGCTCCACCCAGACAGGAACCGTTTAGCACACCAATTCATTGTGCCCAGTCTGGGATTGTGGAAACAGAACTGAAGGACAAAACCCGTGTAGACAGGTGGAGAATGTGCAGTCACCACACAGGCAGATGCCCAGCCCGGAATGCATGTGTTTTTTGTTTGTTTGTTTGTTTGTTTATTTTCCCATCAACGTTATAATGAAATGAGTTGAATAAAACACATTATTCAGGACCTGCAGTCCTAATATTCTTTTGGGTTCCTATCAGTATTCAGAAATAAACTGAATATTCAGAGCAGGCCATGTGTTAGTCAATGTATCACTCAGCATGCCTGAGATATAATGTTATAATGGCTTCTTTTTCTGCACTAGCCCTGCTTGCAATGGGCAATTTTTTGGCCAGTAGGATACCTGACCAATTTTACTCTCTCCTTTCCTCTTATCATGTAAGTAAAAAATAACAGTTATAATAACTGCCACGTCCAGAGAGTCTGATATGTGCCTGTCACTGGGCTAAGTTCTTTATAGATATTAATTCTCACAAACCATATGGCTCTCATTCCCACTGTGCAGAGGAGAGAATTGAGACAGTGAGCAAATTCAGACACTCCTATGGGCAGTGGAAATATCAGCTCTATGCTCTTTTCATTTCGTCATCCCCACCACTACATCCAAACATTAAAACTCTGCAAAAAATAAACTTAAAACATAAGTACAATATGTTAAAATTATCTTGAGCCAGTTACTTGATGCTTGTTATTCACATTTATTTTAAATTTAACTCAGTTCATATTCCACGACATAAATGACTGGAAGAGAATATTTCTGAAAGCCACCACATTTTATCTGCTTATTTTCTTATCTTTTTGCTCTGAAGCCCTTCTCCAAAGCAGAATGAAATAAAGACTCCAGGATAGATATGAACAAAGCTATGAGGGCTATAATTCTTCTGTGAAGAAAATGATGTAGCCCCATGGTCTCGATCACACCTGGGTACAGGTAAGTACCATAAAATAGTCCACAACTTTCCTTCACTCCAAAGTATCTTTTAACACAGTGACCTTTTCCAGAAGGACACTTCTCAAAAGTCAGTAAAAACTAGGGACATATAATAAAGGATTCAACTAAACTTTTTTAAATTCTTTTTTTTTTCCTGTCCCTATGTTACCCGGGTCGGCCTCCAACTCCTGCTCTCAAGTACTCCTCTTGCATCTGCCTCCCAAAGTGCTGGATTTATAGGTGTGAGCCACTGTGCCAGGCCAAGTTTTTTTTAATCCTAAAAAGGCATATCGTGGTACAAAAATATAAAACTTGATTAATCAAGTCTTAAGGTTTTTTTTCTTTCAAGTGAACTCAAAAAAGTGAAATTTCCACATTCAGAGCAATTCTTAAACACCCTTAAGATTTTAATTGTTTCTGTGTTACCAACTGGTGGCACAGACCATGATCAAATATTTCAGATATGTCCAATTCAGCACAGTATTTTGTTCAATAATATTCCTGCCTTTGATTGCATACCTATAGGTGTATTAAATGGGAGAACATGATACCTATGTCCTACGCTCTCCTACAATAGCCGTTTAACTGGTTTCCTTGATTTTCCCTCCAAGCTGCATGCCACAGCTTGACTGAGCTTTCAACAAC